AATTTCAAATAGAAAAAATGGGCAGTTTCTTTTTGGTTTACTCGATAGAATAAAAATGTACTAGTGAAAAAGCTGTGGTTCGATCAACTTTGGGAAAAGTGGGGAAAATTTGGGCCCCAAAAAAGGGTCAAAAGGGGGTTTTAAATTACCATGTGTTAAAAACCGCCGGGACCCCTAACTTTTCAAGAGCGTAATTTTTGTAGGTTTTTTTATCATATTTTTTACTTTTGGTTTATTACCTTCAGGGAAAAACATTATTTAAAATTTTTTTATAAGATTTTTTTTTTGTTTTTAAATTCTTTTACCCCGGGAGAAAATTTGTGATCAAGGTTGCGGGCCTCAAAGGGTTTAAATGCAAAGATTTCTTTTTCGCAAATTAAACATTGCTGTAATTTTGTATTTTCAGGGGATTTGTGTGTTCTTGAGCTCCAAAGCTTAATAAAAAGGCAGTTTCTCCTAATACTTTTTTGTTTCATCCCCATGATTTAATGTAAAACTTGTGCCCCTCCTTGAAGGATTTTTTCTGGTGTTTGCATCAAGTCTTTTGAAGAGTTTGTGCATTTTGGTGGCCTGCTTGTTAAAAGCTTTGGTCAATTTAAAACCCACATTGCCTGTTGGGCCCAAAAAAAAAGAATCTGGTTGGTCTTTACTTCTGCCCGCTGTGTATTTGTTTGCTCCATGGAAATTTTTTTTGGGAGCACATTCCCGCAGTCTTTTGTAAAGTGTTGAGGGAAGCGTTTGTGAAGTGGGGGTTGAGTGATCTAGCACATTCTTCCTCTAAAAACTGGGGACTGGGGGGATTTTTGAAGGGGTCAGAGGGGAAAAGGGCCCCAGGAATACAGGGCTCCACCAAAAAGTAATAAATTGTAATCTATAGGGAAAATAAGAACATAAGAAAGGAGGAACACTGCAGAAAACCTGTTGGCCCATTAAATAGGCAGGGCCTTTTTCAAGATTGAGACACTTATGCAGCATATGGGAATCTTTTTCAGGAAACGTTTCGCCACAAGTGGTTCATCAAATCCAATTTCAAAAAAGGAAGGCGTTTAAAAGGGAGGAGGAGAATGAGGTAATTTAGTCCCTCAACCTGGTTTTCGATGTGTTCAGTCCATCAATCTAGAGGAAAGAGGCCCAGGGAAAAAGGTGCTCCACCATAAGTAATAAATATCGTTTAAATATATATGTATGTTTGATAAATAAGTCAATAAATAAATACTGACACTGTAAAAGCAAATAAATAATTACTGTAACTAGCTAAATACCAATATTGAAAAGTCAATAAGTGAATACATGTTAGGGACTTGCTGTCTTTATGCTGGGTAATTAAGTTTATGCTGGGTAATTAAGTTTATGCTGGGTAATTAAGTTTATGCTGGGTAATTAAGTTTATGCTGGGTAATTAAGTTTATGCTGGGTAATTAAGTTTATGCTGGGTAATTAAGTTTTATGCTGGGTAATTAAGTTTATGCTGGGTAATTAAGTTTATGCTGGGTAATTAAGTTTATGCTGGGTAATTAAGTTTATGCTGGGTAATTAAGTTTATGCTGGGTAATTAAGTTTATGCTGGGTAATTAAGTTTATGCTGGGTAATTAAGTTTATGCTGGGTAATTAAGTTTATGCTGGGTAATTAAGTTTCTTCTTCAGAATAATTGGTTTTGCACTATCATAAAGTCGAACCATTGTAAGACAAACCATCGTAAGTCGAGGAGCACCTGTAGTTAGTGGTCCAAGTTGGACCACTATGTCATCATAAGTTTCATTCTTCTGTGTGCGGATTGTGTATAGACTACTCTGCTCGTCTAGACGCCATAACGAGAGTAACAGTGCGAGGGATCATTGCAGTGTGGAGGTTCAAATCTTGACTTGAGAGTTTACTGTCACTTAACACAGTAGCAGTAGTGGTGGGGAGAGAACCTTCTGCATTACTATCCTCGACACAGTAGTGGTGGTGGGCCTCTCTGTGATAGAAGGTCTAGAAAAAGTAGCTGGTCATTCCTTCTTCAGTGTGAGTTTAATTGTAAGTAATAATGTTGACGGAGCTAGGGATGCCACGTGTCTTTGATGTACCCTTGATGATTTGCAAGAGTTTTTCTACTCCCGGAATCCAGTTACGGACCAGGCTGGTCTGGTGCTTGCTTGGTCAACCAGGCTATTGCTGTTAGTGATCTGCTAACATATCCATCATAGCCTGGTTGATCTGGCACCTGGTGAAGATATTTGTCCAGCTTCCTCTTAAAGACTTCTACACTTGTCCCAGCAGTGTTTTTGATATTTTCTGGCAAGATGTTGAATAATCAGGGACGGAACCACAGATATGTTGATACAGCGTTCTCTTATTGTGCTCATTGCATGACTGCTCTTCACTGGGTTTATTTTGTATGTTGACCTCCTCTCATTCCACGAACTCAGATTAAGCCATAATAAACCACTGTCAACAAACAAACAGAAGAAAAAAACGGTATCGTACCTGGAACAATGCACTAATACCCTGCATGCACGAGGAAGGAACTTACAACAACGATTTGGTCCAGCTTGAACCATTTTTAGTGCAACTCGTATATGGTTCAAGTCAGACCGAAATGTTGTCATAATCTTCTTGGTCCGATGTGCTGGTTATTTGTGTGCTGAACAAATGATGGTCAAGCGGCGGTAGAAAGATGGACCTGTCAATTTTGGGGGTTACGTTTTGAGCCTCTCTGCCACTTGACCGAATTGAGGATAGCCAAAATTGAGTGGATTTCCAAGTCTTGCAGACTCAACTTGTCTACAACTGAGCTGAGTGTACGAACCTACCGCTGACCCCAGTAATTGTTTGTACATTTAATAAGAGTACTCTAAACACATTTTATACACATTGCAATAAACATCGAAAATGAAGCAGTTTACAGCACAGTTTAACAAATGGATTTAGCCTATGATTTGCAGTGGATTTTACCTGTAACCTAGCTAGTGGATTTTACTTATAACCTAGCCAGTGGATTTTACTTATAACCTAGCTAGTGGATTTTACTTATAACCTAGACAATGAATTTTACTTATAACCTAGCCAGTGGATTTTACTTATAACCTAGCTAGTGGATTTTACTTATAACCTAGCCAGTGGGTTTTACTTATAACCTAGCCAGTGGATTTTACTTATAACCTAGCCAATGGATTTTACTTATAACCTAGCCAGTGGATTTTACTTATAACCTAGCTAGTGGATTTTACTTATAACCTAGCTAGTGGATTTTACTTATAACCTAGCTAGTGGATTTTACTTATAACCTAGCCAATGGATTTTACTTATAACCTAGCTAGTGGATTTTACTTATAATGTAGCCAGTGGATTTTACTTATAACCTAGCCAGTGGATTTTACTTATAACCTAGCTAGTGGATTTTACTTATAATGTAGCCAGTGGATTTTACTTATAACCTAGCCAGTGGATTTTACCTATAACCTAGCCAGTGGATTTTGCCTATAATCTTAACCCTTTGAGGGTCCAGACCCCAAACTTGAAAATTCCCCACAGGGTCCAAAGAATTTTCAAAAAAAAAAAAAGAAGACTTTTCCTATAAAATGTTAGAGAATCTTTTTCTGAATGTAATCAAACAAGAAGTATAAAATTTGATAAAAAGCTGATGAAATTACACTCCTGTGAATTTTGCTATCAGTGATATTTACACATCAGCGATTTTGCCCACTTTGAGTCCTATTTTTGGCTAATTACATTGTTCCATTAGACCAAATTCTTAGCTATTTCACTAGCAAGTGTTTCATTTTATCTACTGAGCACAAGAAATCGCCCAACTAACTGTTTCAACTACCAGGAAAGTGATCGGATATTGGTAATTTGGCCAATTTCACACACAGTTCAAAATATTCCAGTTTCAAAATAGGATCCAGTCTGTATCAGTCTGTAGTGGAAGGAAGGCGGGGTAGGGGTCGGCCTAGGGAATGTTGGAGGGAGGGGGTAAAGGAGGTTTTGTGTGCTAGGGGCTTGGACTTCCAGCAGGCATGCGTGAGCGTGTTTGATAGGAGTGAATGGAGACAAATGGTTTTTAATACTTGACGTGCTGTTGGAGTGTGAGCAAAGTAACATTAATGAAGGGGTTCAGGGAAACCGGCAGGCCGGACTTGAGTCCTGGAGATGGGAAGTACAGTGCCTGCACTCTGAAGGAGGGGTGTTAATGTTGCAGTTTAAAAACTGTAGTGTAAAGCACCCTTCTGGCAAGACAGTGATGGAGTGAATGATGGTGAAAGTTTTTATTTTTCGGGCCACCCTGCCTTGGTGGGAATCGGCCAGTGTGATAATAATAATAAACATAAACAATGCAGGCATTCCTGGCACTAAAATAACATTTCCTCTTTTTCTTAGTCATGTTTCCGGACTTTACACATAATTCCATTTTGATTTTTTATTCACAAAGAATTTCTATGCACACCAAAAAATAGAAGATTTACTGTTATGCAGTATTGTAATAATTATATAAATAATATCAGTGCATTCATAAATGCATATTAGACCCACCAACTGACATGTATTGGATGTATGATGTGATTCGTTTACTCTTGAACAACAGCAAAAATCGAACATTTTCACTACTTTGAGCTCAATTTCAAGCTATTTTCAGCACTATACCAATCAAAATCTATGTAAAATATTTTCCATTCTATCAAATGAGACCAAGAAACTGCAAATACAACAACAAAACCCATACGAAATTACACCGTAAAGTTGCTGTTTTATTCCAAAAAACAGTTGCAAGTTTTTTTTCTCGTGCACTGTGTGTTGTTTCATATAGTGCACATTTACTACATAGATGCATTCTCTCATATCTAGGCCCAAATTTATTGCTCACAGCTTACTTGAGTGAGCTGAGCTTATGACGTAGTACTACGGCTTGGACACTGGCTTCAAAGCCGTAGAACTACGGGACAGACCCTCAAATGGTTAAGTGTGATAGATGAAGTGGGTGGCCCAGCATAATGAGGTTAACACCGTAATTATTTACAGACTGTGACAATGGTGTGAGCGGTGACAAGGCGAAGGAGCTGGTACACCAAGCCACTGACCTGATCTACGGCGGTGAGGACCTGGGTCCTGAGTCTATCAGACTCTCGGTACAGGGACTCAGGCTGAGATATGCCGCATCGCTGCCGTCCTGGAGAAGGGAGAGTCGATTTGATGGTTACTCTGGGGAGAGGGTGAGATATTGTTTATTATGGCTGTAGTGAACTGTACTTTTGATGCATGCGATAATCGGTGTAATTTTCAGTAATATGAGATTAGTGATAACTTTAGTAATATTATGATAATTAGTGATAATCTTAATAATCTTAGATTATGTTAGAGCTTCACTTAAGCCATAGTCCATCAGTAAACGATAATATTCGTGAGATGTTTACAAGAGTTTCCTGTTGGTTAACTAGTGTTGTTGCTGGTACTAGTAGTCCTGGATCGGCTTGCCTTGTCAAGCAATCATTGTATATGTCATGAGTCATAGTATTGTGTATTGTTACAGTATGATATTGTGTGTTGTGTATTGTTGCAATGGTCGTGGTATTGTGTTGTGTATTGTTGCAGACATTGGTATTGTGTGTTGTGTATTGTTGCATGTCGTGTATTGTGTTGTGTATTGTTGTATTTGTATTGTGTGTTGTGTATTGTTGCAATGGTCGTGGTATTGTGTTGTGTATTGTTGTATTTGTATTGTGTGTTGTGTATTGTTGCAATGGTCGTGGTATTGTGTTGTGTATTGTTGTATTCGTATTGTGTGTTGTGTATTGTTGCAGTCACGATGATATGTGTTGTGTATTGTTGCAGTCACTGTATCATGTTAATGGTGCATCAGTGCAGCCAGAGAGCTGTTAATTATCATTTACATTATTGCAGAGTATTGCACCAGTGAGCCTGCGAGCGCAGGCCATCAAGAATGAGATGAAGGACACGGAAATGATCAAGTACAAGATAGTGAACAAGGAACAAGACATCAAGGACCTCAAGCTGACCCTTAAGCAGAAGAACGAGGAACTGAGCGAAATGACAGTCAGGAGGGACCTGGCCGAGAAGAAACTCTCGACTGCCACCCGGGATGCTGATATTACCATAGAGAAACTCCAGCGCAAGCTAGATGACACCTTGATGATGTTACGACGCAAGGAGAAGGTAACTGTGTGTGACACTGGTTGACACTCTGATGATGATGTGACACAAGGTAACTAACTGTATGTCTGACACTGGTTGACACTATGATGATGTGACACAAGGTAACTATGTGTGACACTAGTTGACACTATGATGATGTGACACAAGGAGAAGGTAACTAGTATGTATGACACTGGTTGACACTATGATGATGTGACACAAGGTAACTGTATGTGTGACACTGGTTGACACTGATGTTACACAAGGAGAAGGCAACTAGTATGTATGACACTGGTTGACACTATGATGATGTGACACAGGAGAAGGTAACTAGTATGTATGACACTGGAAGCTGTCATTACATAATTATCACATAGAACAGCAGTGTTAAAGTTTCCAGTTTTCCTATATTAGAAAAATTGCTCTAATTTCCTCGTTTTTTCAGGAATACGACGAGACAATGGACCACCTACAGAGCGACATAGAGAGTCTGGAGTCTGAGAAGGGTGAACTAAGAGAGAAACTGAAGGCACTTAACAAGAAGACTTTGTATGAGGCACTCTCTAAGACCTCCTCCTTGACAGGTAGTGTGTTGGTACCATATTGTATGAGGCACTCTCTAAAACCTCCTTGACAGGCAGTGTGTTGGTACCTTATTGTATGAGGCACTCTCTAAAACCCCCTTGACAGGCAGTGGTTGACCTTTTTAGCAGGCTCTCTAAAACCTCCTTGACAGGCATGTGTTGGTACCTTATTGTATGAGGCACTCTCTAAAACCAGCACCTTGACAGGTAGTGTGTTGGTAATTTGTTGTACAAGGCACTTTCAAAGATCTCTTAAGTAGGTAGTGTTAGTACCTCATTGTATAAGGAACTTTCTAAGACCTCTTAAACATGTAGTGTTATTGTGTCATTATCTTCTTGAGCGATGATGGTGAGGTGCTCTTGAGCCAAGGAATTGAATTAGACCACCCTGGCCTCAAGTCAAACTCAATTCCCTCTTGTTCCCCCAGGCGCTGCACTACCCCTACAAGTTTAGTGTTTTCCCCTGAATGCAGTAAGCCAGGTGTTGCAACACACAGCTCAGCTACCCCTTCCATCTACAGTAGACCATCGATTAATATGCGATCTTTTAACACGCTTTCGATATTAGACTATTGCAAAATTGCAGCGTATATTCGATTTGCATTCCATGAAATTCATCTTGCACTGTGCAACTTCTAGGGGAAAATTTGAAATGCTGTGAGTTGGATCAGAGGGCTGTTGAGGTGGTTTGGTCATTTAGAGAGAATGGAACAAAGTAGAATGACTTGGAGAGCATATAAATCTATTGGTGAAAGAAGGCGGGGTAGGGGTCGTCCTTGAAAAAATTGGAGGGAGGGGGTAAAGGAAGTTTTGTGGGCGAGGGGCTTGGACTAATAGAAAGCGTGCATGTTAGATAAGAGTGAATGGTTACAAATGGTTTTTGGGACCTGAAGAGCTGTTGGAATGTGAGCAGGGTAATATTTTGTAAAGGGATTCAGGGAAACTGGTTAACCAGGCTTGAGTCCTGGAAATGGGAAGTACAATGCCTGCACTTTAAAGGAGGGGTTTAGGATATTGGCAGTTTGGAGGGATGTCTGAACTGTCGTATCTAAGTGCCTCTGCAAAGATAATGATTATGTATGGGTGATGGTGAAAGTGTTGAATGATGAAAGTTTTTTCTTTCTTTTTGGGTCACCCTGACTCAGTGGGGAAACAGCCGACATGTTTAAAAAAAAAAATCTGCATTATAACCATGGCACCTAAGAGGCATGTGATTGATGCCAGAAGTGGCAAGAAAAGTTAGTGTTCAGGTCTGGGTGTTATGAAGAAAATAGACATTAGATAAACTTAAAAGTGGTGCACGTGTGGTGATGGCAAGAGCTTTTGGACTTAATGAAGCATCAGTTCGTACAGTTAAAAAGAATAAGGCAAATATGTATTCTTGTGTAATGAATAATCCAGGTGGTCACCTTAAAAGAATAACACATAGATCACAACAGGTCAGTAAAACAGAAAGCTTACTGACTGAGTGGATTGAACAAACCACGAAAAAAAGGTGCGCTACTTAACTACTACAGTGGACCCCCAGCTTACGATGTTATTTCATTCCAGAAGTATGTTCAGGTGCCATTACTGAATGAATTTGTTCCCATAAGGAATATTCTGAATTAGATTAGTCCATTTCAGACCCCCAAACATACACGTACAAACGCACTTACATAAATACACTTACATAATTGGTCGCATTGGGAGGTGATCGTAAAGCGGGGGTCCACTGTACTTAATAAAATAAAGAAGCTTAGAGTTCTATAAAACAGTGTGTTTAACGCTGTCTGGTTTTACAAGTTCAAGTTACGTAATAATTTACTCAATATTAAGTTTTCTGGTGAAAGTGCTTCAGCTGACCATACAGCAGCAAGTAATTTCCCTGCTGAATTACAGGAAATTATTTCTGAGGGTGGCTACTAGCTACATCAAGTGTTTAATGCTGACGAGACAAGTGTGTGTTGGTAGATAATGCCACCAAGAAATTACATCAGTCAGCAAGAGAAAAGTGCTCCAGAATTCAAGGTGGCAAAGGAACACTTCTCCTTGCTCCTTTGCAGTAATGTGTCAGGTGATTTCAAGTGTAAGCCCATGATTATTTACTGCTCCAAGACTCCTAAGGCTTTCAAAAGTGTAGGTAAAAAGCACTTACCAGTAATTTGGAAGTTAAATCACTCAGCATGGATGACAACAGGAAATATTCATTGACTGATTTAATCCTTTGAGGGTCCGTCCCATAGTTCTACGGCTTCGAAGGCAGAGTCTAAGCTGTAGCACTACGTCATGAGCTGGCTCACTCAGATAAGCTGTGAGCAGTAAATTTGGGCCTAGATATGAGAGAATACATTTATGTGGTAAGTGTGCCCCATATAAAAAGAATCCTGCGGCATACAGTACATAATGAGAAAAAAACGGCAACCTTGTTTTTGGATTAAAACAGCGACTTTGTTGTGCATTTTTCTATGGTTTTTGCAGTTGTATTTGCATTTTTTTGGTTTCATTTGATGGAATGGAGGATATGTTACAGAAAAAAATATGATTTTTATTGGTTTTGGTACTGAAAATAGCTTGAAATTGAGCTCAAAGTAGCAGAAATGTTCAATTTTTGCTGATGTTCGAAAGTAAGTAAATCACATCACGCATCCAATACACTTTAGCTGGTGGGTCTTATGTGTGTTCACAAATGTGCTGATATTATTTATACAATTATTACAATATTGAATAAAAGTAAACTTCTGTTATTTAGTGTGAATAAAAATTCTCTATGTGAATAAAAAATCAAAATGGAATTCACTAGTAAAGCCTGAAAATGTTACTAACAAACAGAGGAAATGCTATTTTAGTGTCAGGAATGTCTGCATTGTTTATTCTGGACCTTATTTTGAAATTGGAATATTTTGAACTGTGTGTGAAATTTGCCAAATTACCACTTTCCAGTCATTTTATTGGGTAGTTGAAATACAGCCTCTTCTCACTTAACACTGGACTTCCGTTCCTAAGACCACACCGGTAAACAAATTCGTCACTAAGTGAGGAGCATACTATAATGGTAGTGAGTTTGTGTCAACCATCTTTGATATTGTTTTAATGTCATCTTTGCTCCATTTATAACATTTCTGGTATATTTTTAAATGTTTATACAACTGTTTACTGTTATATTTGTTATTATCACACTGGCCGATTCCCACCAAGGCAGGGTGGCCCGAAAAAGAAAAACTTTCACCATCATTCACTCCATCACTGTCTTGCCAGAAGGGTGCTTTACACTACAGTTTTTAAACTGCAACATTAACACCCCTCCTTTACTGTATATTGTAATAAATAGAATACAGGAAATGAGCTCTAACATACATTCCATACCACGGGCGGGGATAGAACCCGCGATCAGAGAGTCATGTTAACGGCTTTGAGGGGACTTGAGCTAGAGTTCGTCACGGCCACGCTAGCTGGAGATTCGTCTGTAAAAACTTGCATTTGTGGTCACAGTGGTGCCTATGCTAACCTTCCTATGGTGTAGAAATTTACCTAGTTGGACGAATCTTATTGTGGCAGCTGGTCCAGTGGCTAACGCGACGGTCTGGAGTTTTGAGACTCTCTGATCACAGGTTCTATCCCCGCCTGTGGTATGGTTTGTTTGCAATCGTGTCATTACGATTTCGTGAGTGTAATATACATTATTTAGGTATGCATACTGGTCAGAGAGCCTGTCGTAAGTCCGAGTCGTTGGTAAATGAGTATGTCGCTAAGTGAGGAGAGGCTGTAGTTGATTTGGCGATTCCTCGTGCTCAATAGTTAAAATGGAACACATACTAGCGAAGTAGCTAAGAATTTGGTCTAATGGAACAATGTAATTGGCTGAGAATAGGACTCAGTGGGCAGAATCATGAATGCATAAAATTGCTGACTCAGCAAAATTGACGGGAGCATAATTTCATCAATTTTTTTTTATCAGATTTCTTACTTTTTGTTTCATTATCTCCAGAAAAAGATTCTCTTCCATTTCATAAGAAAAAATTATAAAAATTTTTTTTGAAAATTCTTGATCCCTGTGGGGAATTTTCAGATTGGGGGTCTGGACCCTCGGTGGTTTAACCCTTAAACTGTCCAAACATAAATCACTGTTTTTTTTTTTTATTTGAAGATATGTAAAAAAACGTAGGTCTACTTTTGGAGCTCTACACGTGTGAACGTAGATCTATGTTTGGACAGGGTTAAGTATCACTTTATTCCCAAAGTCAAGTTTTAGCTGCACAGCAAGAACCTTGCATTCAAGGTTTTGTTAGGTAAGACACATATGCAACAGTTAGGTATCTTTATTATGAAACGTTTCGCCTACACAGTAGGCTTCTTCAGTCAAGTACAGAAAAGTTGATAGAAGCAGAAGATACTTGAAGACGATGTAATCAGTCCATCACCCTTAAAGTTTTGAGGTGGTCAGTCCCTCAGTCTGGAGAAGAGCATTGTTCCATAGTATGAAACAATATTGTTTCATACTATTTATTTATTTATTTATTTAAAAATTTGAGCACACATACAGAGGTACAACAAATACAGGTAAGAGCAGTATGCCAAAGCCACTTATACTATGCATAGCATTACGGGCTGGCTTAAAATTAACTTAAGATTAACTAAGCAATGATGACATCAGTGATAAAACATTAATGTAAACAGATTACTATAAAGCACAAGTGAGTATTACAAAGACAGGTCATATGTTTGTATGCATTGTTGTACATTCAGTAGAATGGAGTATTCTGTTAGGTAGTGTATTTAAAAAATAATAAAGTTAGATTGGGTTTTACTATGGAACAATGCTCTTCTCCAGACTGAGGGACTGACCACCTCAAAACTTTAAGGGTGATGGACTGATTACATCATCTTCAAGTATCTTCTGCTTCTATCAACTTTTCTGTACTTGACTGAAGAAGCCTACTGTGTAGGCGAAACGTTTCATAATAAAGATACCTAACTGTTGCATATGTGTCTTACCTAACAACCTGTCGGTATTTTATACC